AATAAAGATTGTTGTACTTACGTACAAAGTTCTACGTTGCATCTGACTGACTAGTCTTCTTCATTAACATTAATACCTCTACTATCTTTATCACTATGGGATTTGATTTGACATTTGCGTCTCTGTGCTAATGTGGTATGGCAACATGAACTTATGTACATACGTACGAAGTTCTATGTTGCGACTGACTGACTGAATAAAGATTGGTTTCATCATGATATTCTTGCGTTCATTAAGTTTTAATAATATCATGTGACTCCATGAATCCAGTTATTAGCTACAGTTTTCGTGTAAGAAGCACTTAATTTTTTCGGTTTGTTTACCATTCGGTAAATTTTCAAACTATTGCGTAATCAAGATCGTTTTTCTGTTCATTTAAGTATATTTGCTCTTAGGTCTTATTTACAATTTACACTTACCATGCTGACATGAAGATATGATTATTGAAAAACCTTGAATACCAATATTCACTTTGGTTCTTATCTAATTGTAAAGTAGTAGGCCAACTGTAGCTTAAGTTCCAAATAATTTTTTACTTTGAGCTTAAATTGTTTGAAAATAAACTGTCACTTTTCCCTTTCTTATAAGAATTCAATGAGGATGTATTTACATGATAGGGTTGTGGAGATTGTTGAATTACTTTTTTGAAACCTTGAATCGATCAGTGGTGGTTTAACACTGATCGAATATGTTTAGTTTGAAAGTGATTTTCCTTACTAAGTGATTGTAACTTCCTAAAAATCATTAGAAACTTGATTAACCTAAATAGTTGCCTTCGTTTCGGCATAAAACATGTCCAAAGTTCGTCACATCTCTGAGATACTGATATACTAATAAGTCATGATTGACTTGCCTAGGAAGGTAGACATTCAACCTTCTTAAAGACCATCTTACTTCTTTATTCTAATCAGAAATTTAAAACAATTAGTCCCTTTTATAAATTTTAATAGAACAGTCAGAAGATGTAATTGATGTGATCTCTTATTCTTTCTATATTACGTTAATTCTCTCTCTCTCTCTCTCTCTCTCCTTTATTTACAATTATCATCTGATGTCTATTTGAACTTTTATTTTAATTGACCTTTTATTAATCTTCAAATAAAATGCCTTGACAATTGAATATGTATGACCAAATTGTTCGAAATGTATAGCGCAAATACATCACAATATTTTTCATATCAAATTATGTCTTCTCACTGTTCTATCAAACTTCGTTATTCTCATTGTACACTAATTCAGTTAGGATGAACTCTACGGCTCAACTGCGTACATGATACATTAGCTACACAGACAGCTCTATTTCTCAAGGCATCTACACACCTCAGATGAAAAACATGTGATTCATCTGACTTGTACGTATATTAGTTAATTATTAATCACCGTAGATAACAGTATTACAAGGGTTAGTGAAACATGTATCTGACATATCTACCAATTCTTATAGTAAAACAACCAATTATTATTTTCCCATGCTTGCATGCATTAGAAACAAGTGCAATCTCATAGTTTCCCCATCCACCAAAAATCCGGTTGAGGTGCGTGGATAACGCCTTTATCATTATAAAACAAGATTGATTGGACGAAGTTTTTAAAGGCGTTAATAGTATGTTTGACAAAATCAAATTCGCTAAAATGATGAAATCTGCTAGACTGTCTAGTTTAAAGGAAACAGAGATTACGTGAAATTTTATATGTTACGAAAGACAACATAGTCTGGAAAGTGTATAGACTTGTAGATCAGCACATCCCCATTCCACCGAAGTGACAGTTGTTAGGACTTTGATAAATAATGTTAAAAATGTCGTCACTGAGCCAACTAACTAGGAAACTTAAATAAATTTAACTATATCCACTTTGGTTATTCTGCACAATCTTCGACAACTTCATGCGCAACACTTAGGAATAAACATACGCACATTTTACATTAGAGCGAAACTGTCAACATCACTGAGTTTATCTAGATTTTATCATACCATTTATACTGTTTATTAATTTATGTATTCTACGATATTTTAATTCCATTCCTTTGTCTTCAATCAATCACTGTTTTACATTTATACGCTGTATTATTTAACAGGGTTCATTTCATGGTTTATTAGCAATGCTTCTTCAATTAACAAATGCTGAATTTACTATTCCTCGACGTGTTTATCAACGTGGTTATCAAAGTTTCGAACGATTAATTGAAGAAGTTGTAGAAGATATAAGTTCTATTATCTCAGCCCAACTACCTCATGCTATTGTAACTAGTTTTGGTCCAATGCATGAAGTCACACAATTTCGTAAGTTTCATGAAATTCATTTAATAGATCTTATTTTTTTAACTAAACAATATTTTTTCTATGCGAAAATGTGTAATTAAACACTATTTAAATGGTACTTCTGTTGATGAGTCTAAATTGTGCCCGTCATAAGAATAATTTATCATCATTCTAATTGGATATCCATTCAGATTCTTTACAATTTCAGCTGTATCATCATTCATCGATATTACAGCACCGACTACGTTAACTGAATTCAATACTTCATCTATTGATCTGCCATCTTTACCTATTACTTGTTTCCCAAAAACTGCATTGCTTACTCGGTTGTCCCAGGATATACTAGTAATGCTTCGGAGACACCAATGATCGAAAACCAGTGACCTACGAATATCTTCTACTCTTACTGGCCATGTTTCGCATCCATATAGTAGGATGAAGCTAACTGATACGCAGTAGACCCGTCCATTGGTTGGTAGATGGATATCTTGCCTACGTCATAAATGACGCAAGTTGGCAAAAGCCAATCGTGCCTTCTGTATCCGTACTAAGATTTCGTCACACACCAGGCAATCAGAATTAATGAAGCTCCCGAGAAGAGTGAAACCTTCGATACGCTCAAACGCTTCACTCCTTATCACTAGTTCAGGTGCCGATGCAACCCAATCCTAAAGCAACATTTTGATTTTGAGAGGGAGAATCGCAACCCGAAAATGCTTGCTTAGTTGCCTATGGTGGTCAGAGGACTGCATTTTCTCAGCATCTTTACGAAGTAGAACTATGTCATCGGCATATTCAACGTCAGCAAATGAATCTCCTGGTAAACGTCCGACTCCTGAAAAATCAAACGATAAAAGTGTCGTATGGACATGCATGTCAAGGAATACAACTATAGGATCTCAGTCAATCTAGCTTCTAAAACTGGACCACCATGCTTAAAAATCTCAGCATTTACCTTCTCTGAGCCCGCTGCTCTCCCTCGCTTCAGATTTCCTATAGCTTTCTGAACTTCATTAAGGGTCGGAGGACTTACATCGATTTGCCATTCAGGTTGACTGGAGATCATGGGTAGCCGAAGTGTGGCTGAAGGCCAATGGGCCTGATCCCTTAAGTATTCTGCCCATCGGTCCAATCTCCTGGATTGAGAATGGAATAAAGTGCTTAACGTTTTGAAGAAAGTTAGAAAGGTTTGTGTAGAACCCATCTTTTATCTCGTCCGAGCTGTATTCAGTGGGGGCGTAGACAGAGACGACGAAGAGGCAACGGCGAGTGTCCTTATCTTTCCGAGTTCCTACTGTCCCGTTTAACTGGACAGCGCATAAGCTACTGTTTACCTAGATCCAGTCTAAGAGAGCTAGTTCTACCCTAGGACTCAATGTTATACCTACACCAGCGAGGTTCCGGGAAGCAGTATCAGGGCTTTCAGATACACGAGTAAATCGAGCTACATCTTTATTTTGACAAAGTGAAATCAAATGAATGATTTTACTAGGATCCTGTATGCGCGTTTCGGAGACGCAGCATACATCGATGACGCGAGATTCTAAATTCCCGACTAAGTAAGCCTGTTGTCCTTTTTTGCACAAGGTTCGGACACTGAAGGCTCCAACATGTAGTTTAGAAGGGTGTTTCAAGAGACCAGGAATAACATGTCGACCTTTACTAACCCTTCCTTCCTTGTGGCAAGGCAACATCGCTGCAGCTGCTGGTTATCCGAGGAAAACACCTTGCTGCTGTCACAGCTCTCTACTGTCAGTATTACGACTTTGCCCTCAGACTTTGAGTTGCCTCTTTTAGTTTCACCGTCCTCCAGTTGACGTGCCTGGCGTGGTAGAGCTTACAGGAACATATGTTTCAGCTAATATAGCTCGGTTGGGTCATCATGACATGTACGTTTGACCACCATATGAAAGTAGCAGCTATGGTCAATACTACCACTAATTGTATGATAGTTATTATACTGTCCGGTCACCCGGAACGGAACACAGTTTTTCTAACCACCATATTCTTAAGACATCGAGAAACACGTTCTCATGTTAATTGGTAACTGCACTAGGTTCAAATACAATTGTTTCCCACAGTATCCTAGAGCCCATATTCACAACCCGTCTAGGATTATGGTTTTCTGTCTCCCTTCTCTACTGAGCCAATGTAGGCACTGTATGTCCGCTTTCACCCTTTTGATCTTGAGGAAATTCTCTACCATATGTGGTTTTTCTGAATGAAGTTACAAACATGTTGCCTTAGGAGATTTCAAGAGAGGGTATGTTTGAAAACACTTTTTGAGAACTCAGAACTCTGGCTCCTTTTTAACCAACGCTATAAATAACCTAAAAAGTCATTCAACTATAACATATCGTTTATATGTTCACAAAGATCTTCAGATGTTAAGTTTCTCACTGAAATATGCCCTCTTTTAACAAATAATAATATCGTCCCATCACTGTCTCTTGATCAAAGTTAAACATTTAACAAAATCTAATTATATCTTACGTATAAATGTGACCTTTTTTATTTTAAGTATCGGTTAAGCTTTTCAATATACATTAAAACCTAGAATTTATTTCCTAAAAATGCCGTCTAACGTGATTTTAACGAGATAATAATATGAATAAATTTCAATATTGTATCTTTTATGTTAGATATAATGTATATAGTATCATTGTCCTTAAATTATACACTCGTGATTTTCTCGTGCACTGTCACAATGCACATCTTTACCTCATTTTTATATTACAGTTCTTGGCTTATGGGATCTAGTCTATCAACCTGTTTGCAGCTTCTATGGAACCCCCGAATTGCCTAATACATCATCGGATTCTGGTCATATCGGTACAACTGTTAGTAAATTAAATCTGTTTAAAAAGCCATATCAGCTCCGTAATGAAGGTTGTTATTGTAATGAATATATGTCTCCAGATACACCTTATAGTACCAGTCGAGGTGGGATTATTCATGGTCTTAGAAGAGGTACACGTTCATTTTCAACAAGTACTCTATGGGCAACTTTACAATTGAGTATTCAAGGTATAAGAGCTGTTCAATCTATTGCGGAAGTAAGTTTCAATCTGATATAAATATACTCGACAAAATCGAAGTACAAAGGCGTGTTCATTGCTTTCCAATTATTTTAAATGCTTTTGCTATGTCCACATGTTATCCACTAGCTATTACATGTCTACTGACTGCAGTTGCGAGTAATTTACTTTTTTTCAGACACCAGTTCCAGCGGAGATGTTCAGAAAGCTTTGTTGATGCTATTCTCTCCGTCCTCCTATGTACTTGACTCTATAAGTACATGTTAATTCGTCAATACATTTTGAGGTAATCTCAGAAGGATATTAATCCACTCTTGATTAGTTTAAAGGAAATTTTGTGTTATACACTGAAAACAGTTGGGCTACAGGAGATTGTAAATAATAAATGGTTATATATATTTGTCTTATAGTCTAGTTACCTAATAATTATACTAGAGTATGTGCATCAGCAGTCCGTAACCTGGTTTCCTAAGTTACCATTTACTTTACTCTCTATCCACGTATAACACACCTACTTTCTAGATACTTTGGTTATGTTTGTTTGGTATTGATCAATACTAAATAGGAATTAGCTGAGTCTTTTACACCATGATCAATCATCATTACCTTAAATTTACTTACTATTCTGATTAAATTATATTTCTGTTATTTTTCATTTTATAATTTAGACAGCTTACGATTTAGTTACACCGGGACCAGCTTTACGTAGTCGACGTTTGTATTTAAGACAACCAGCTGATATACGCGAAGGATTTGGCAATGCTGTGAATGTAGTGACACGAGGATTTCAAATGGTAGCAGAAGACTTGTGTGGTGCTACTGCATTACCGTCAGAAGTTGAAATTGGATATAAAGGTCCAGTTGGAATGGTTGGTGATGTCTTACGTCAAATACCGCCAACCATGGTTACGCCCATAGTAGCCGGCTGTGAAGTAAGCATAAATTATTGAACAATTACATTTGGTTTATTTTTCTTTTCCAGTTTTAGGAGTCCTTTTTTATCGTTATGTATGATTTAATGAAATGTAGATTTCTGGATATGTAGAAGTTCTGTTAAACATATAACCAGTA